GAACTGGATGTCATATCATAGTGAGTCACCAAAGGGCTCATGGGAAGCGTTGCAACTAGTTATGGAGCTGATGTGTCCGCATCATGTCTGTGAATGTCAGCGAGGACATTGCAGATGTCTCAGTTGACCTGTGAAGCTGGAGATGGTTGAGGAGGAGGAGGAGGCTGCTCAAAAATGGACAGGCAATCACTCAGCGGCAGACATATTGGATGGTCCCACATGGCTGCCACCCACAGTGTAATGAGGGTTACCAGGCCATGCTGCCTTTCAGTTGGCTGAGGCTAGCAGAGACAGAGGCTTCATTTTACATTTTGATGCCAATGAACACCAGTGCCCTACCGTCTTCAAGTGGTGGCAATCTAGAGCTGGCACTGTTTTGCTTGATAGCAAGATTGTCGATATGGTTGATGGACTGTTCTTTAAAAAAATATTAAATCCCATGAAAATAAAAATCCTTAAATCAGTCATTCCCATTTTCCTGTAATATATGAGGTCTCTCTCAGCATTCTTGTCTGTACTTCAGTCATGGACCAAGTACTTACCCAAGACCTCATTTAGCCAAGTACGCTCCAAATCCTCTCAAGTGTTTTATCTCCATCCATGTTATTGAGAAAGCTTTAGGATTAACCCTTCAGATTTTACACACCTGGTAGATTAATCAAATATTAATACCTTCTTGAAATTTTGCTTAGTCGATTTCAGAGAGGTGAGCTAGACCGGCAAGTCAGCGTCCATGGTCATCATTGGGGAGAAACAGTCTTCTCTAAGCAAGCCATTTAGTAATTCACCTGTGGCACTGATGTCTCATAGCGTCTGAATCATAAACTAAAATTCTTTTTGAAAATAACTCAAGATCTGATATTTGTGTCTGGCCAAAGACACAATAAAACCATGCCACAATAATGGAAAAATCAATTCTGTAGATGATGCTGAGGCACTAACAGTGTTTTCACGGAGGTGTACTTCAACCAAAAATGACCGGCCTTTGGCATTATTTAGCACTGACATGTCTCAACCACTCAAGGAAATGGGTCCTCAGAGGCCTTAATAATTCTGAGATGGACTTGAGACAGTGTCGTTCCCCTTACCCCGAGCCTCTCACACCAGAGCTGAGGTGTGGCATTGGCCTACTGCTCCCCAAACAATTACACATTAGTACTGAGCACAATTCTCTCTCTTGAACAAACTGTCTGTGTCTTGACAGCTTAGAGTCACTTTCTTATTTCTCAGCTGAGACCGAAGGCCAAGGAAACAGAAGGCACACTAATGTACATTTAATCGCTGGACATTGCAACTGGTAAATACAATGTTTTGTTTGCCCATATTCAGGGGTTGACCAAATGTCGCATTTATCAATTGACATTAATTTCAGCACTTTTACTGTGTTAAATGGTTGTCACTTTGATGCAGCCACTCAAAGCCATATCTTTGGACAAGCCTCATTTGTCAGCAGGCAAGCATCTCCCTAACAAATGTTTTTAAAACGTTTCCTCCAACACATCATTTCATTCTCAGCAAGGTGTGATCCCTGCTTCTGTCTCCCTTAGCTGTAATGTGCAGTGGTATGCAGTCTTAGACTTAGAAAACTTTAATGTCCTCCGAGAGGCAATTTGTGTTACAGCACAAAACTTCCAGATAAACAAAAACAACAATAGTCTAACACCATCTTTAGCAGCCATAATAAATACTGTTACAGTCCAGGTAGGCATGTAACACGGGTAACGGGTCAAATTCACCCACGGCTGTTTTTTGATTGTATGTATCTTTGTTTCAATGTAATATTCAAGTCCCCCAGTCTTTGACTTTTCCTAAAAGTGTGTTATGTAGCACCCCCTAATGTTAAGAAATGTCAAGATAAAGCCAGATTTAAAAAATGGGCATTTATACCTATAAGTGCGAGCAGGTATAACTTACCCCTATAGAGAAGTCATTTTAGCGCTGTTCATGTCGCGAGTTTAGATAAACATTCTGTTGCCATTGGAAACACCTTTTCCACTACAGGCATTACACTTTTTCAGCGCAGTAAGTGAAGGGGAGTCTGACGGTGGGGGATGAGCGATGTGTCCTAGGTTGATTCTGCATTTGACGGGTCATTATCTGACAGCGATCCACTTGAATGAAGTAAACATGCATAAAAGCTGCTGCTTATAGCTTTTGTGTAGGCTACATGATCATCAAAACTAATGCTGCAGTAGCCTAGTTTTTCCCTGTGATAGAGGTTTGTTCTGCGGTCCCTTCAAGTGCGGCTCCCTTGTGTGCTTTTTGATCGGCTATAACTTTTACAATGCTATGTAGGCTATTCTTTAGTAAAAGTGATCATTATACATTTTTCTGTTGGGTAAAAATCTACTATTAATTTTGGAATTGATGATAATCGGGGTATTTTTTCGAATAAATCGCCTACTTTTATTTGGACTTTCAAACTTTTGTAGCTACGTGTTACTCTCTGGATGCCCAATGGAGTACACAGTAAGAACTAGCCGACATTATGAGGCTATTATTACCGCCTATAAAACACTACAACAGTCAGTCGTTTTTGTAAATTGTATGCTGCATTTAAATTCAAGCTGTGTTTAGAATATAACTAGGCTATAACATCTAAAACAGCGGCGAGTGGATGACATCAAAAGCGCCGTCGCATGTGAACGTGCCCTTCACAAATGCGCAGCGCAAGCGATCGACCTGCACGGTGAAGATAATGAATAAAATGGAATAAACTTTCTGTAAATGCCTGAAATATGGGGATGGTGTTTATAGGAAATGCACAGCCAAGGTGCTGAATGTTTCCCAAAGTGTGTTGGAGTAACATGTAGCAGAAACAATGACAAAATCACTGCATTTTTATATCGTGTAAATGTTACCCACTATGGCGGTTATAGGTATACAACGAACCCAGGCGGTTCTAGTGTTAAAGTGCATGTCAATAACTGTAGTAATAATAATAATAATAATCCTTATTTGTAGAGCACTTTTCAAAAACAAGTTACAAAGTGCTTTAACAAGTGTAAAGAATAATACAAAAAAAACAAGATAAGAGCATGAAAAATTTATATAAAATTAGTAAAATACAATAAAATAAAGTCAAATAAGATCGGGAAAAGCTCTCCTATAAAAGTATGTTTTAAGAAGGGACTTCACTGACTCAGCTGACCTGGTTTCCTCGGGCAGGCTGTTCCAGAGCCTCGGGGCCCTGACAGCAAACGCTCTGTCCCCTTTAGTTTTCAGTCGAGACTCTGGAACAGAAAACAGACCTCTGCCCGAGGATCTCAAGGTACGTGCTGGTGCGTATGGGACTAAAAGGTCAGAAATATAACAAGGCGAGAGGCCATGAAGAGCTTTAAAAGTGATCAACAGAATTTTAAAGTCAATTCTAAAACATACTGGGAGCCAGTGTAATGAAGCTAAAATAGGAGTAATGTGGTCATATTTCTTTGTTCTGATGTATACCAACAATTGTTAATAAATAGTGAGTATATTTCACATGTATTGTCCATATGTTTTTCCCAGACTCTCCTTGGCTACCTTATGTTGTTTAATAGAGTTAGAGTTAGAGATACAGTTATTGCCATGGGTATACATTCATTTTTTACTCGGTTGGATCTGATCTTGGGGTATCTATATATCCCAACCAGAAAGGAGTGGCTGGAACTCCACTGAAAGGGGATGGGATGTATCCATGCATACCATGTCTGCTTTCTCAGTCAGCCTGGTCAATTTGTCAATTTGCAGTATCATGCATATCATATCTACACATGGTCTGGTTGTGATATGTCTACGTTTTGTATATTGGTTAGATCTGATATAAAATCTACCTGATCAGTGAAGCCAGTCTTACTTGCATTTGCAGTAAGCGGAAAGATCTCAAACACAGAAAGAGTTGTATGCCATTTTAAGTAAATGGCTTCAGTAATTGCATGATTATGAATAGGCAGCTATGCTTTGAATCTAATAAACCATATAAAATGTATGAATTTACCAGAAACTATACATATCTTTAAATAACATTTAATATCTATCCAACTTTTTTTATACTCAGTAACATTCAAAACCAGAGATGTAACCACCTCTATATTCACCAAATAATTCTTTGCTTTACTTTTTTACCAGCTGTGTTGTAGCAGAGATGTAAAATCTATGGGACCACAAAGGTTTTAAACAAGTAGATGTACGCTTCAAACCACCTGCTTATCGGATATCATCCAACAGCATCTGAAACGCTCTTTCAAGTGCTGATTTTTGTAACTTTCTGAAACGTTCAATCTGACAATTATGTCCACTTTTTTAACACTTCTGCGTCTGGTGGACTTCAGCACACTGGCTGCAGTTGCACCGGATCATTACTAGTCTCTAGTGATAGTGCTGAAATGTAAAGTCATCACCCTACAATAAACTATATTTACAATTTCTTTAAAAAGTCATAAAAACAGTAAAGATAAAGGTTATCAAACCATGTTGGTGAATATCTCATCGCACAAAGACTTTGCAACACTGTTACTTTGTGAAAACTTTACTTGAGTCATTGCCATACAAAGCATTCCCCTGTACATAGATGGTAAAGTGTTTTCCAGTTACATTAGGACAGCTGCACAATTATTTCCTCTTGATGGTCTGTCTTTTCTCCACACCAAAGCTGCACATGATAATAGTCTGTTCCATATCTCCTCAAGCAGTAGCCACACTCCCCTCTGAGTGCAATGTCCAGTGTTTACAGTGAAAAGTGTGTGCGTGCGTGTGTGTGTGTGTGTGTGTGTGTGCGTGTGCGTGTGTGTGTAAGCTTATGTTTATCTCTGCACTGCCTTTGGTTCCTTTTGATTTCCCTTAAGCTCTGTGTCTTTTGTCATGTTCTGGTCTTCTGAATGCTTGCTTATGGGTGTCATTTGTTTTCTCCCCCTGCCCCGCTCCCTCCTTGCCTCCTCCCCCATTTCTCCTTTATTTGCATGCTGTTCCTCCTGTTCCACACCTCCCTCCTCAACTGCCATGTCCTCTCCTTGTGTGCTCAGATACTGCGCCCAGCACTGAACCTGCAGCTCATGGTTGGTATCTCTACTTTCCTCTTTATGTCTTTTTTTTTAAAACTTGTATCCTGTCTCTGCTGCATGCCTACTTTTACTTTTGCACAGTAGAAAGTATTGTGCCAGGCTGCCCAGCCTGTAAATGTCATCTGTGTGCCTGGTCTCAGTCGTTTATTGATTGTGGTGACCTGTCTTTTGAGGCCACTGAGGTCCTGCCAAGGAACAGTCAGGCTACATTTTATTTATTTATTTTTTCCATTAACTGTGCAACAAAGATGTTGATATAACTTTTTTTTCTTTAAGAAAGCTTCTTATTCTCCTCCTAGAACTGCACTGGTGAAATGGTTTTACCAACTAACCAATTATAGTGTTTCCCTGAAGGTGCCACAGAGGAATAAAATCCACTCTGAGGCCAGGACTGATTATATCAACAGCATGAGATGATTTTGTGTGGAGGCAAAAATAGACCTCATTTACTCGTTCTCATTAATTTGAATGAAGATGATATACATCATTTTCTCATTTTGCCTAAATTGCATCTCTTTTTTTCATTTTTTTGTGGCTGCAGTTTCATGATTTGTGTGAACAAATGTATGTTCTATTAGGCATGTGCTCAGTTTACTCCATCAGGAAACTTAGAACTGACTTCACTCACTTGCTATAATGGTCGAAGTAGAGGCCTGTGTAGCAAATGAACCATGGGCTCCTATGTGGTAATTTAGATAAACACAATTTTATTTCAGAATGTGTTTCTCACAGGTAGACAACACAACAGCACTAATGAAATTACAACAAACCCAGACACACTCGATGATTTTAGCACCTTTGGGTCCCAAATGCCTACTTTACCTGGAAGGTAATCCAGCCTTGCTTGCCCTAACTAGTTACATTAACATGATTTTATTGTTTTGTTTCTTCTGTGCACTTTCTCTTTCCACTAGATGGTAAGATTTTATCAAAGTTAAAGATGGGGCAAAATGGGCTCAGGGCTAGTTATGGTATATGAGATGTGAAATACCCAAGCGTCTTTAAAAAAGCATCAAGAGTCTTTTTTTTTTAAATGATACATTATGATGATTCACCCCTACCAAGAGGTTGGTGAGTGGGAGAGACCATTGACAAGGGAAAGTTTTTGCTCTTCTCATGCAATTTTAATTATCTTTACATATTTTAATTATATGGCATGAATTATAGTACATCTGAAGTAATGAAGATTTTACAATTAAAATTGCAATCTATGCTTGAGTGCATGACTGAAGTATCTATTTAATTTTACAGTCAGAATTCAAACACTTCGATATTATATACATTATTTATTTAATTTAATTGTGAACAATGTTTAAATGTCATGCATATAGAAAATTGTTTTTCAAATAATTCCAGCAGCAGGCTGTTTTTAGCATAAAAGCTCTAAAAACCCACTTTACACTACTCTCTCATCACCAAACGGCAAACAGGCGCATTTAGCAACTAGCTGGTGAACATAGTGGAGCATTTAGCAGCCTTCAAATAAACGATAGTGTTGCCCGGTAACTGCTGGATTTGTAAATAAGCAGCAGTTTGCCACTTCCCCCGAGTAGTCAAAAAAAGAACAATCAGCTAATGCAGGTTTAAATAAATTAAATGAAAAGTGGTTTTCGTAACCTGTCACTCGTTTGACCTTTGTGTATAGTAAATGTAAAAGGAGCAGGTATCAGATGTATCCTGTTTCATTACTAAGTGTTTCTAATGTAACATTTTTTTAGTTTGAGAAAAAGTGGAATATTGTATTAGTGATATTCAGTTACTGTATTTCCCTCACATAAAATATTTATTAAGGGCAAAAGAACGTGGGATTAAACCAGATGAATGAATGTTCACGGTGGATTGATGGAGATGGGATTTTATTAATATGCATACACTATTTGGTGAATGAACATTAGTGCAGGGTTCAGGTGTTTTATCAAACATTTAAATATAATTAACCCTCACTTCTATCCATAAAGCCTATGCTGAATATTAGGGAGTTTCAACCTGTGTAGCACAACAAATACACACAACAGAGCCTTCAAACATTTCTTAACGCATAACCTTAAATGCAAACTCAACATATTGATCAAATTTGCTACATCAAATTAATCTTGCTCATTTTTCCTTGAAGGATAAAACTGGTTTGTTCTGAAAATAGCGCTGATCCTTTTCCGCTTCAGAAGATAAATATAAAAAGTCTTAGGAGATTCAAATAATCAATGACGTTATGCTGCTGTACCTTGTGCATAAATGCGCACAGCGTCTTTCTTAGTGGGAAGACTATTCATCCTATTTCACCCATCCCCTCTTAATCAGAAGGTTAATTTTTATGACGTAGACCCACACGATCCGCGGATATAACTCTACACATCTCTGCGCAACTCTACATCACTAAAACCCACCTATATAGGCACATCATACTATCAGAATAATGTGAGTATTAAATAGCAGTGAAAGTAACTCAAAAATAATGCAAAATATTCAGGGACAATAATATTGTAATATAACTAATTACTCTCAAATGACAGTAACTACTAATCTATAATGTATTACATTTTGGAAGTAACTTGCCCAACAATGCTAGCAGGTGAACATAGTGGAGCATTTAACAGCGCTTTACTTCAGGAGTACAGACCAGAAACAGAGTTAAAACAGAGTAGATATTGGACTTACATTCATCAGGAGGCCAGAAACACTATTCCAAATTAATGATAATGTTGCTCTGTAACTGCTGGGTGTGTAAGTAGACAAGTTTGCCATATCAACTTAAAGGAGACCTATTTTCCATATTTTATGACTTATCTACAATGTTACAATGTTGGATGTTCATGTTAAACAAGGCCAAAGCATTAAATGATGAGATTAAAGTATTTAAAAGAAATCCCTGTGAGCCTTAACCTCAGATTTCTTCATGTTCTGAACTCTCTGTTTCAACAGATTTTTCTACCAACCGCTCCTTTTGATAACACATGAAGCTAGACTGAGCTGGTATTCCATATATGGTAATTTACCACATATTACCATATACGCTCGGTCTGTCTGTACCGCTCAGCGGAAACAACAAATGCTTCAGGTCTTGGTCAATCAGAAGACAGTGGGCTTTGAGGAGGGGGGGGGGGGGGGTCTTAAAGAGACCACAGCGTTTACAGCTTGTTTCAGAAAGATGCTGAAATGAAGCCCTGCGTGAAGAGTCTGTATACGACGTTGAATCATGCAAAGTATCATACAGGAGTCACAGAACAGCAATATAAGACTGGAAATGCAGTATAATAGGTCTCCTTTAAAGGTGGTGATATGTCAGTGTGGTGATACACTTTGTTTCTGCTGCCCTCAAGTGGTGAAAAAAATATATTTAACAGGTTTAAAACAAACAGTAGATTCACAGATATCAATCAAGCACAGTCGGTGCACACCAACACAGCCGTGAAGAAACGCCTGATCATCCAGTCCATCCATCCATGTGGGTGTCCAGCCTGAATTCAAGATGGTAGCTCAGTAAATAGTGAATCACTTTGTTGTTCAAGCCCTTTAATTTAATGAATATTGACAGTTATGAGTCAGTGACTGGCAATGCAACTGAACAACTGTACAATACCTGTAACAATATTTTCATAGGTGTATAATTTGCCTATCAAGATGGACATATTCCTTCATCGCCATGACTTGTGAGCATTCAGTCTTTATTTTTGTTTTTACCAAACTCTTGAAAACATCTTCAAAGCAAGACATGAGCTCTGTGCATTTTTGAATCCGTTAAAGACTCTAATACAATCTACAACGGTATTATAATAAATCCCATATTCATAAATGTTTAATGCTCAGGGGGTTTTTTTTGTTGAAACTGTTTTAAAGCAATCAAGTATGTGCCAGCAAAGATCCCTGCTAGTTTCTTTTGAAACATAAACAGTGTAATTCTACAGTTTAACAGTTATAGGATAAAATTATTGTTCATAATTACTTTCAAGGGTTGTAAAATCCTTTCTCATACTATTATAAAACGCTGTGTGAAGGTCTTGGCATGTAATAAGCCTTCTTGAATTGGATTATCTCACCTGTACCTCACACATTTCCCCACCAATCCAACCTCTTGTGTAACGAAAGCCAAATGGCTGTACAGTCAGTAAACCTCAGTCCCCGACGCCATAAGAGATGCACTGGCGAGTGGCGCTAGTGTCCATGGGTTTTAGCCTCCACGCTAACGTTGTGAGGCCGCCAGTTCGAGTCAGGACTGTGCAGTAGTACAACTTCGGGGAGAACCGTTACACTTGTGTTTTTTTTAATACTGCCATTTTCAGTCTGAGCACCCAGGAACTCGGTCGGACCTCGTGAGCACTCTCTGCCAACGTTTTCTCACTGTCAACACCACTACTAACTGTATACCTCATATTAGAAAATACACTTTATTTTGAGCTAAATCAATCCGGAAAGGTAAGTGCCTTTATTTCATTAGTGCTTCCAGATGTATTAAAAACAAAAAAAGTCATGTCTATATTTCCATGCGCTGTGTGTGACACCAAGTCAGACACTGTTAGAAAAGCATCAGCACTGACCGCCTGGCTTCCCATTTCCTCTCAGATGTTGTTGCCATGGTGATGCCCCGCTTGTCGTGACTAAAAGAGAGAGGAAGCTGAGACACTATTGAGCTTGAAGGCTCTTCCCGAGATTGTCCATTTCCCACTAAAATAGGCCAGGTACAGGGGAAGAGGCATGGAGGGCATGAGAGAACAAATTAAACATGCGGCAGAGAAACGAAGAGGCTCTGAGATGAGCTGCCAGTTTACAGCTGAAGTGTTCGTTGAAACATTTTGTTCTTATAAATTAAGCTTTTGCTCTGGTGCTGAAATGAGAAAGAACCAGAAACTGGAAAAACTCAAACATAATGACTGGTTTTATTATGCATGTGGATAAACGCCACTGCAACTCTGGCTTCTAAGAAGCTCTTGTGGTAAAAAGTAATTTTCACTAGAAAGACCCACAGAGTTAAAGGCGCTCATTCGAAACAAAAACAATAG